GGAAAGAAGAAACTTTACAGAGGAGAAACCTGGAAGATATCACCTTATCCAATGGTCAAAAGTAACATCACCGGTGGAGGAAGGTAGACACCAGGGACCTCCTGACAGAACACAGCGAGAAGAGCAGGGCTCCACACCTGTCATATTCTTGCCTAAGAACTACTGAGGCAACGTTCCAGATTGAAGGGGATTGAAGAGATGACAAGTAAGTGCACTGTGACATTCTGGATTAAATTCTTGTTCTGCTAAAGACACCATCTGGACTGTCAAATGAAACCTGAATAGGGTCTCTGGGTGAAAGAAATATAAAAGGTCTCTGGCTGTTTTCACTTTTCTGTAAGTTTTAAATTATTTTATTTTTAAAATTTTATTAAAAAAATTTAAACCTTTAATTTTTTTGCTTTTGATTTGGGGGGGGGTAATTAGGTTTGTCTGTTTGTTTATTTTAATAGAGGTACGGGAGATTGAACCCAGAACCTCGCACATGACAAGCATGCATTCTACCACTGAGCTATATACCCCCCAACCAGTTTTAAATTATTTTAAAATAAAAAGTTTAAAAGATTTTTAAAGAAACCACATCTCAAATTGTAAATGCATACAACAATCTTCATTGCTTCTGGCAATGAATGCAAATTAAAGCAGTCTTAAGGTATCATTTTATAGTAGTCATTTTTTGCCTGGTTTTTATTGTAGTCATTTGTTTATCTATATGATGGTTTGCTTTGTAATATGATAACTAGAAAGGGTTTATTCTTTGTTTTCTAAGCACTGTAACATAAAGTGACTCATAAACTCATAATCCTTACAAAAACTCTAGAAAGAAGATTCAATTATTTTCTCCACTTTACAGAATCAATTGAGGCTTAGAGACTTAAGCAGCTCGCCTGAAATGACACAGCCGGCAAGTGGAGTAGGTGGGATATGAACTCTGGTGGTCTGGCTCCCAGGCTTTTAACCTCTCTGATACACTGCTTCCCATTTTCATACGGGACCAAGGTACCTAAATCTGTTACAATTCTTCTGAAGAGCAACAAGGCCATGCCATCCCTATAGTCATCAAATCTTCAGACTCTTGCCCACTAATGAACTGCTGAGAATTTAGCCTAAGGAAAGCTATATGAAGACGACAGAAAGCTACGTGCATAAAGATGTTCTCTATAATGGAAAGTTTTTAAATGACCAATAGGGAAATGGTTAATTATGACTCATCAACCCAATAGAATATTCTACAGTCAATCACTTAAAAATAATAATTATGGAGATACATGAAATATAGGGAGATGTTTATAATATTAAGTTAAAAAATGCAAAGTATAGGTATACTGGGAAATATGTGAAAATTGTGTGTGCATAAAGTCAACAAATTAAAGAGTAAAATTCAAAAATGATAATAGTTGTTAGAAAGTCATGGGATAATTGATGACTTTTCCCTTTCAGATATTTTCATGGTTTTTACAAATTAACAACTGTTCAGAAAGTGATGCAAGAATTCTTTTCATACTTCCGCAACCCTCCTTCTGCGGGAGATGGGTGGTGATTATGTGCACTTACATGGAAACTTGTTAAATTTAAAAAATACAGACAATAAAATGATACACATTTTATGACTCAATAACACACACATCTAGAAGGTCATATACTACAATATGTATTGAGGCTCTCTCTATCCAGGTGGTGAGATTATCAGGGGTTCTTTTTTTCTTCTTTATACCATTTTTGAACTTAGTGTTATACAAATGTACTTGCTTCCAATAATATTTTCTTAAAGAATTGTAGAGGTAAACTATGACTAAATTAAAATACTGAAACACTCTTTTGGCAACCAACTCCAAAATTTCATCAGAAAAATAGGACAGCTTTCTTGTATCATTTATTATACACTCAGAGTTCACTAATTCTGCTTTTTTTGTTGTTGTTGTTGTTTTTTAACGGAGCTGCTAGAGATTGAACCCAGGACCTAGAGCATGCTAAGCATGCACTCTACCACTGAGATATACATGCCCTGCCCAATTCTGCTCTTTTGGCCAGACTCATCAACAATTATATCTCATGCTAAGAGTCCAGACATGATCAATTGAGAATATACCTATGTATGGTTTATGCGTAAGCCCAATACTTATACACTCAAATCACTGACCAATGAATTCATGTCAAGAAGGCAATGCCATTCATAATGACTTTATTATAAGGATTTAAATATACTTTCCTCAAGTAATACTTCTGATTGTAAACTTTACAGCCTAATAGAAAAATAAAAGCTTAGAAAGTCACATTCCCCAGCAACACAATAAGAAAAATAATCCTGAATTATTAGGTAGAAGTATCTAAGGTTATCATCAAAAATAAATGATTATTTGAATAGAAAAGAATACTAAAAGTCAAAATTTAGAGGCCCTTAAGAGGAAAAAATAATTCCACGATAAGAGAAATCAGACTATAAGCAAATTTTAAGCTTAGCACAGCCAAAAAATATCCATAGGAACAGATTATGATGATGACAAAGATTAAGGAATAAGAGATCTGCTAAAGAAAGGCCAGGGTTATTAGGGAAGAAAAGAAAATCTCATAGGGTATGGCAAAAAAAAGTTATATTCAAAGCTATTAACTGAAGTCTTATAAAACTAGATGGAATTTCATCTATTTGGTGTGGTTTTTAAATGTAGGCTTGTATGAAGGCATGGATGCTATGAACATCTGGTATGTTCTATAAGTATTAAAGTGAGTATCTAAACAAGAAAAGCCCTAAATATTGGAAAGCAGATTACTATATTCACTATGTCAAATCTGATTGGCTAGAACAGAGATCATGATGTCCAATCTCATCCTGACATAAGTGTGGATCAGGGATAACTCATCACATTTTTCTTCCTCTCACGATTTATTAAATTGCACAGAGAGGCAAGGAAGCCATGCCATCCCTCAAGTTTTTCTCTTCTGCATGATCTTTATTCTCTCAAGCCATTTCTTCCTCAAAAGAGCTCACCAAAGTTGTCATCCTTCCTATCAGCAGCCCCTCTGGGCTCTAGTGAGTGACATCCAGACATTTAAACTCAAAAGCTGCTTCAGAAGGGAGTTATTAAAATTCAAATGAGCCGGGCATATTGAAGGAGAAAACACTCGTTTGCATGCACACCTCCGCATTTGGCCATCCCATTTAAACCCACAGAGCAGGGTCTGGTTTTGTTTTTGTAAATGGGCTTCCGAGGCGGAGGTCAGCCTCCCACGGCCCCCACTCCTCTGGGGTCATCATTAGTAATGTGTAAGGCTGAATAGATTTTTCTCTGAATCTAGTCAGCAAACCTGACAAGAAGGCAGCCCTCTCCCACAACCTGAAAATGCCAAAAATCTGATTGGTTCTATGGCATTCTTAAATACTTCATTTATTTGTTTTAAAACAGATTTCAGTAGGAGTGTACATATGCTTCTGATGTCAATTCCACCCGATTTTTCAGTTTTAGAGCAGAATATTTCCTGTTGTGCCATGACTGCGTAATCATAAAAATGTTACATTTAACCAAGAATTTCTTGCAAGATTCAGAGAAAATTAATTTCTGCCAAGAAATATGGATCTAAGGAGCCAAAAGGACACTTTATTCACTAGAAAAGAAAAAGTCTATCTTTAATTTGGTCTTAAGAATTTTAATTTTATTTCTCATGGAAATATCTCACAGTATCATTTAAAATCTTTTTAATGTATCAGTGAGCAAGTTAACAAAAAAAAGAGCAAAAATATTTATTCCTAGAATTATTCTAGCCATGGAAATTTTAGATGTTCCTCTAGTAAAACTTCAATCTCTTACTAATGAAGACATTTCCATTATGGAATCTACTTCAAGCAGACTTAATTTATGGCAATATAGACAATTAACTCCATATTATGTGTAATATATGACATGTTCATATATAAACATATCTTGTACCACAATGACATAACCTTGTACCAATTTTTACGGAGGATGTGCAAAAGCAATTTATACTAACTCATGACCCTAGGATAATAGCACAATTTCTAGAACTCCAGAAACTAAGGGAATTCATGTCTAAACTATGAAAGTAGTTTATAACCTGGAGGCTCCAAGGATTAATGTACCTAGTGGGAAATCAGACAACAGACATGAGCTTTAATGTCCCTTCCAATGGTAAGATTTTGTTCTTCTATGACCTTCATTAATCAAACTTGCTTCCTCTAATGTCTTGATTTGTTTAAAAATATTTTTTTCCCCTAAGATTGGGATGGTCTTGTAATACAGGCACTGGTTTTGCCCAGACTGCCATAACCAGCCCAAGGAAGAATGAAACTAGCAGACAACAATAAAAAAAAATTACATTAATCTGGGTTCCTAAGCCAGGACATGTTCAGTTTGGATCAGTTTTTCCCTCAGAGCATGAAATGGTAGGTGTGTATCATTAAAGAGCATCTATTTAATAACTTATGTGGCATTACTTTGGCTCCAGTTACAAACAGAAGGCCACTCAATCTCGGTCTTCAGGTTGCTTGTGCTCTAATGCGGTGGCCGCAACAAAGAATCACAAAAGGACAAATGTTGCAGAGAAAAAGAACACAAGCTGAAATTAAGAACTAGAGCCAGTGACCCCAACAACACAGTGATCACACAAGGTTCAGGGAGAAGACCTACTTTCAAGTCTGGTCCTGGAACACCAACTGCATCCAGGTGTGTGTTCTCTTTCCAGGTCACACTCACACACTCACTTGAAACTGATGAAGAAAGTAATGTGTGCTCACACTTTCGAAAGGGCCAAGGAAGACCAAGGTGTCACATGCTCCCCATGTGAATCCGAGAGACTACACAGTGTGTAAGTTTATGTACCACTTATTGTAGTTGGTCTCCATGTCATCTCTGGTGCAAAGATGCTCTAGCAGGAGAAACTATTCACTCCTTCAGATTTCTGCTGCTTTATTCTACAGAAGCAAGCTTAGGGCACATAAACTTAACAGGTAGAAAGAATGACAGAATTCAAGAAATGTGCTCACTTGCCTTTTTTCCCTCCTGTAATGAAGAAGCCAATGGCTGCTCTAATAAAACTGCTTTCAGGCAAATAGCTGTAGTCAGTTGGAACTGTGGAGACAGAAAATGATCAAATTAACCAGTGAACTTGGCGGGACTAATGAAGGAAAGATAATGATCTCATGCTGCCACATCAACCTAGAGACAAAGCGGAGATGTTTATGCCATTAATCTCAGAACAATACTCTGTGGTTGCAACTAATTCTATTAGATTAATTGACTGGCCTTGAAATAATCACTTAGGCTATGCAAGCAAACCCAAAATGGTGGTAAATCTAGAGGAGACTGAAAAACCACAGAGGATGAAAATTTTACTGAAGTGGTTAAAATCTTTTTTTCCACTTTGGCAATTCAATAAGCCTCTATCCAGTGACCTCCTCAGAGTTAGCAAGGAGTCTGCTGGGCTTCTAGGCGGAGACCACCATTCTATGGGCTCTCTCAGGGCATCCTGAATCAGATATATGAACCATGGAAATATGTCAAACAGTATTAACAGCAGCCTGTCTCTTACTTCAGAAGGCAGGGACCTCTATGTGACCAGCACGTGAACATAACCAGCTATGTCTGCTGAGCTGGAACAGTGGAGCAGTGACATTTATGCTAGTTGAGTCCTGGGCGTTCCCTAGATTCTTTTCCTCCCAGTACCCCATAATTGTTTCATGAGATGGTTTTTACTACGATAAATGGCTCAACTGGAAAATTCCATCAGAAACAAGTAGCTGTACTTTTCCAGACACACAGTCATTTGGCTCCAAAGAACCTGGGTGTAGGATGATTCACTACAATGTGACTTGAGTCCATGTGGGCCAGACCAGGTTCCCTATAACAATTAAAACCCTTTGTCAAAAAAGCAAAAGCCTGACATAAACATGTCATTTTTGCAGGACATTGTGAGAGTGCTGCCCTTCAAAAATAGCATTACTGAGGGTTTCTAATATGACTAAGTGTTTTTTCCTTTTTCCAATTTTAATATGACAGCTACCAGTTGTCTAGAGTTCACGATGTTGGGAACGCTGTGGAACAATGTCCTGTTTCCGTAGCTAAAGGGTGACTGAAAGTGAGGGAGACAGTAATTACACTGGCCCATGTTCACAGTAATGTGGTCTGTCAGGGGACATGTGAAACTAGGTTTTAATGAGGCATCTTTGGTACCTAAACCTCTCTGGCCTGGGTCCAAGAGAGCCAGTGGTCAAAATTCAGTAAAGAGCAAGGAGCAGACATAGGTCCCAGTGCATTACAGTGATGCCTTCCCCAGAAAATCTCCAAGTACAAATACAAATTAAGCACATGGGAATTGCAAACATTTTTATTGCTTTTGTTAAAAAGCTGGAAATAGAAAAAGCCTTGTTGTGTTAAGACCTAGGATTTTAATTCCAAGGCCGAAAAGCTGTACATCTTTAAAAGTACTTACCCCATTACTTTCTCAAAAGCAAGGGCCAGAAGAACTCCAGCCTCATATGAAGAGTCTTTTAATGAAATATGAATATGATACAAACTATGATTACATCTCATAAAATAAAAAAGAACTCTGTTCCAAGCTTCCAGGATTGGATACCTAGTTTCTGGATTTCTCACTAAACTTGTATGTCAAGTAATCCTTTTGAGCCTTGGGTTCTTCATTTGGAAAATATGGGGTGAGACTCAGTGTCTAAACTGATCTCTAAGGAAGGCAAAGGAAGAGTGAAGAGAGCTTGGCAGCTGATGGATCTGAGTTCCAGCCTCACGTCTGCCACTTACTTCCATGTGACCCTGGGCAAGTCAGGAGACCTCTCCACAGCCCATGTTCCTCTGATGTAAAACGAGGACAGTAATACCCACTGCTGAGGGTGGCTGTGAAAATGAACGCTCTTAACAAAGCACATGGCCCCATGTCAGCAATCCCTCCTTCCAGCTCCAGTGTTCTATGACTCCAATCTTACCCGAGGTTCTACTTTGATTTGAGGACAGTGTAGACAGGTGAAGATGTCCTAGAAGCCAAACTGCATTTGACTGAAGACCAATCACCCCAGACACACTGATGACCTATGGAGGAAATGTAACAATTCAATGATAGGGCAAGATCCAAATTCCATTCAAGAAAAGGCCACTCAGAGAAGGTCACTAATCTTTTACGAGGTGATGGCTTGGCTGGTAATGAGAAGTTCTATGACAAGATGGACTAGCACCTGTTCAGTATACTAAACGTGGGACATAGAAGTGATCAACAGTTGCTGAATGAATAAATGAATGAATGAATCAAATCTATCAGTCATGATAGGTACTAGTGGTTTCACTGAGTCAGGCTGGTCTAAATGATTTTCAAAAAATGGGAAAAGAAAACTCAAAAAGTAAAAAGAGGTGACAGTCGCTTAAGACTAAAGTAACTTTAAAAGTGGAAGGAGATACTATTTTGTTCTCTTCTTTAAATAATGCTCTATTACTGTTTTATCATTTACAGATTTTCCCCCAAGTTACAACAGCTTAAGTTTCAATGGAATTCTTTGAGAATATTCATATTCATATATGCAAAAGAGAGTTTCTTCTGGTCAGAGATTTACATTGGCTTTTAAAGGCATGAATTACTACAACTTCTTTAAGTGGTGGGTATTATAACCAGCTATATTTTGTAAGAATGGAAACAAGTATGCCAAGTGAAAAGCTTAGGATACAAAGTTCTATATACGATAAGAATACAACTATGCAAAGAAAATAAGAATACTTTAAAAAGAAATATGACCAAATATCAGCAGAAGCTGCCTCAGGCTGGGAGGACCATCAGTGATATTTTTTCAGCTTCTTTCATTCTGTACTTACAAAGTTTATGAAATGAATGTCCTAATTTTTTTAAATAAAAATCTTAAAATATAAAATTCTCAGCAGATGAACATATTTGTTTTTTAGCAAGGATAGCGCTGACAAGGATGTACCCAAATACTTTATCCAGTGACATCTGAACTACTGCCTCTTGACCATTCTACTTAGGTATCTACCCTGCCCTTTGATTGTCTTCCATTCTTCCTTGTCTTGAGGGCCTGATGTTCTTAGCAGGATCAGGTTCTAATTTTTAAGGGAAACCACTGCCAACTTAAATTAACTCAAAAATGCCAATTTTCTTTTTTCTCCAGAAGAGTGCATGTTGGTCAGCGAATGCAAGGCCATAAACCTTTCTCAAATGCCCCTTGAACTGACCATGAATAACCAGAGATCTTCCCATTTTCTAAGTCTAACAGTTTGTACCATAAAAGAGGAAAAAGACAACAAAGGGGAGTATGTTTTCTTACTGAAGGATTTTAAATTCGTCTTCTCACCTGAGTTAAAGTTCGGATGACTTCGTTAAGTCTGCCTTGAAAATGAGAGGACTGGATGGCTTCTGATTTCAGCTGAAGGGAAAAGGAGAAATACCCGCCCCACATCCCCACAAAAAGTAAATAATGATGTCCCAGTGTATGAGCTACCATCATCTAAGCATTGGAATACTTTATCACTATGTCCTTACATTTCAAAAACAAAAGCTTTGAGCTCCCTGAGGGCAGAACCCATGTTTTATTTAATCACTGACTTCCTAGCACCAGTTCAGTGTGGCAAGTAGCAGTCACTTAACAAACCTTCACTGTATGAACAAAGGAACTCCTTAGAATTATTTGTAAGTTTACACAAATATATGTCCACTGTGGAAAACATTTTAAAGTGGAAGCCTAATTACATGATATAAACTTAAACATTACAGATGCAAAATGGAGTTTCTTATGAATGATGTCTGAAATTTCTTATGACCTAATCACTTCTCTCAGGCAGAGAACTTTGTGAAAAGTATATAAGTTGACTAGGTTTAATTTCCTACAAACCAAATAAAATGAGGAACAAATCTCTATAGAAAGAATGCTTGGCCAGAGCAATTTTCCATACATAAAGGCGGGAGAAAGTCCAGTGTAACCATTTCCTTAGCATACTGAAATCCTGGGTATCTCTTCTGGTTGTGACTATGTACACATTTAGGTTTCTTCCTCCACCCCAACCCCCCCTTTTTTTACCTGCATTATCTCCCCTTCAGAGCCTACCAAGGCCACCATGCCATGAAGAGCTGCCAAACAAAGCATTGTGGGAGAGCCCTGAAAACAAAGAATCAGAATATGTCAAGAGGGAAACAGTCCTTGGGTTTGGATTCTATAAAAACTGTATCACAGAGAAACAAATGGTCAAAATGGTACTAAATTTGTAGGGTCAATGCAACCTGTGTCACTGAACCAAAGGCAGAGGACTTTGAATAAAGTAACAGGTTCGAGTTGTGAGATCATAGATGGCTTCTCGTTGTTTTTTACTTTTCAAAACCACGGTGTTGTTTTACAATTAAAACACTGACAAAATAGCTAGCTTAAAAAAAGAAAACTCTAATGGTTAACAGTATGTATCATTGATAAGGCGTTAAAAGTACATGTGTCTCTTTCATTTGAAATTGCCTAATCTTTTATAGTTAAGCTATATATATCTTAGCAGCACCTATAAATGGTCCAATAAAATAGTGCTTTCTCCTTTATAAAAGCATAAAATAACATGCAGGAGGTGTCTTATACCTGGGCTAGGACAATTCTGATCCAAGCAGGGAGCAGTCTGTTGCCCAAGTCTTCAGCTTTTCCATGTCCACACACAGACAAACCATGAACGATGTTTCCTAACGCCAGGGCAAAACCTGAAGTCTATTAGAAATATATAAAAACAAGAGGTAAGAAACAAGAAGTCTGGCTCTGGTCAGGAACATTCATATACAGCAACATCAGCACTCTAGGGACTCCCTTTCCTACAGCTGTCTGCAAGTCAGAGATTTGCAGATTTTTAAAATTTAGACTTTAGTTTGCAACAGAAACTTCAGTCTAATTGCAAGGAATTCAGCTTCAGTGAGTGGTTTATTTTAGGTAGAGAATACTGCACTATTGAGTGACTTGGGAAAAAAATCCAAATTCCAACAAGTGAAAATACCAAGTTAAATCACACAAGCCCAGTCAACTCCCAAACAAATGTCCTGTGATGAGCACATGCAAACTTGTACATTCTGGTGTTTGCAAAATCTACTGTGAATGTAAGTGAGCAGGCATACAACCATAAAATAGTAACAATACAATACAACATAAGCTTAAAACCTGAACTGAATCCTGCAATAACTCACTATGGCCAGTATTAAGACTTTAGAGAAACTGAAGGGAAAAAAATGACCAAGCAAACAAAATACAAATGGTGAAATTCTAGAGAATGTGTAATTAGAGGGAACATTTTTTTTTCAGTTTTTAAAAATTGTAGTAAAATACACATAACATAAAATTTACCATCTTAACCATTTTTAAGTGCACAGTTTAGTGGTAAGAAGTACATTTATATTGTGCAACCATCACTACCATCCGCATCTTTTCATCTTGCAAAACTGAAACTCCGTACCCACTGAACAATAACTCCACATTCCCGCTTCCCCACCTCCTGGCAACCACCATTCTACTTTCTTTCTCTATGCTTTTGACTATTCTAAACACCTCATATGAGAAGAATCATACCGAATTTGCCTTTTTGTGATGGGCCTAATTCACTTAGCATAACGTCCTCGAGGTTATCTGTGTCATAGCGTATGTCAGAATTTCCTTCCTTAAGGCTGACTAATATTTCAGAGGGAATAATGTAAGGGTCTTTCATTTAATCAGCAGGTATCTAAATTCTCCCATATATTCAGTCATAAGCTAAGAGTCTCTGCCTTGAATTTGCTGAGGTTTTACTTTATCAGATTACTCTACGTATTCTTATCTTTACAAAGTTTTGTCTCTAGCTCTACATGACTCTTATATTCCCTGGCCACGTGTTTTAAGATTTTATAAATACGGAGCAATAGTTGGAGAGAGAGAAAAGACTTTTTGTATTCAGATCAAAGAAAAAAAATCTATAGGGGATAGAGAGAGAAAAAGATGTCTGTGGCCACTGACCATCCCTGTGAGAGAAGAGTTAGATGTTCCTCAGTTCTGGGCACAAAAAAATCTCTTGCTATAGTCTCATCGAGTAAACCAAAATCAGGACTTTGCAGCAGGCTGAGACCCACAGAGAGAGAACTAGGGCACACATTCTGACCTGCTGGTTGTTCTCCACTAATAGTCGAAGCTTGTTCATAATATCTTCAGCCTCCGCAGCCTCGATGATCCCGGCACTGAATGCTGATGTACACACACAGCTCAGGGTATAGGCAAGGACCTGGGAAAAAAAAAAAAAAACTGCAGAAGAATGTCTCTTCATGTGGGAAAATAAAAGAACACGATTTAGTTGACACAAATATTTTGACAAACTTATCCCTAGGATAAGGACTGGATTCAAATATACCTGTCACAGACCGGCCATTGTTCTGCAGCCTAACTTACATTACATTTCAGAACAATATTATGAGATGGGTGTCATTCTGCCAAGTTTATGGGTAGAGACTTTGAGGCTGAGTGACACATAGCTAGCAAGTGACAGAGGCGAGATTCAAGCCCGGGTCTTTAGACGCCAAATCAATGAGTTCTCTCATCACCTCATGTCAGAAAACAGCATCCATACACCACAGAAGCAGATTCTTCTCACTAGTAGACGCTACTAATGGCCATGTGCTCCAATCCAAGGCCAAACAGGAGAGGAAATTCTAAGCACTGAAACACTGCTACTTTAAGATTCCCTAGTAGAAGAAGTGGAGCATAATGGATGAGGAATGTCAGTTTTAGAGTCACATAAATTGTGTACAATAGAAATACTACTACTTACTTCACAGCACTGGTGTGATTTTAATAAGCAAATGAAAAATAAATGAATATGAACAAATTATGAATTAAAAAAATACTGGGAGTAAAAACAGAACACTCAGGTGTCGACCCCAAGTTGACTATGGCTGGCTGAGAAACTTTGGGCAAGTCTCTCAATCTATTTGCTCCCAGCTTTTTTTTTTTAACTAAATCAAGGTTAATCATCTCTCCCTGGTACCCTGCATTTTCATGATGAATCCCTCTCTTACGAAGATGCTGTTAAGACAAAGTAGAAATTTTCACCTCCTAACTCTGGTTGATATGGCATGAAAAAAGAACCGGTTTCAAGGTAGAAGTTGGAGAACAAAAATCCGAGGGGAGAAAAACAAAGCAAAACTGCTTGCTCAAGGCCTTTTAAATCAAAACATCAAGGCAGACAGATGCATCAATTATAAAAACTTTACATTCATTTATTAATCAAATTGTTCTCCACTGCAACATTTTCTCCTTCGGCTTCAAAAAAAAAAATATGTACTTTCAAATTGCACTCTGCACTGCTTTCAAAATGGAAATGTGGTGCATGTCTTAGAACAAAACTTCAACCCTCTGTGCCCCAAAGAAATTTACTGATTCAACAAGTCCTATTGCAGACAGCAGAGGAGCCGAGCAGGGAAACACAGCAGCCATTATGTGCTCATCAATAGCTCGTGGGCAGGCCAGGGGGGGGAAACAGGATCTGCTCTAATGAGAGGCGGAATCTGGCCAGGCCAAGAGGTCGGCCCAGGCTTCTCCCAAAAAGCACAGGCGACAGGGTTTCACCTGGGGGCAGCAGAGACACATGCCTCAGATGACCCGCTCGGCACCGTCAATACACAGGCTGGGCCACAAGAACTGCAATTCTGCATCTTTTTTCAGCGCCATCACAGAAAAATCTTTTCATTAAGTGTGGTAAAGGGAATTTCCTCAATAATTTTTCATGCTAGCTGACATTAAAAAAAAAATCAAATGCCTTTTCGATCCGCAGTTTCTTAAGCTTATTCCTGGCTGTTTCTTAAAGTTATATTTGGCTTGGGCATAATTCTAAAAAAAAAATCTCCATTTAACCTTCCTCCAGAAATGGCAGCTCTTCCTAGAAACTGCCTTCTAGTGATGCTGAGTTTGGCTTTTGTAGTCACTGAAGGCTCTTATCTTACATGCCACATTTAAGTCTAAGTTGATTTAAACAGCTGTACCATTTGAAAACCTTAGGATCTAATATAGGTTGTTTGCCACTCAGATTTCCTCCTTAGCCCTGTTGAAATTGAGGCAGAATTTAATTTCAGAGTTACCAAGATATGAGAAGTAGAAAATAAGCAGCAACGGGAAAACAAAAGACAGCAGAGGGAAGACAACTGCAACCTTTGTCTCCTACCTCCTGAAACGTCCTGCTTTGGCTCCCACTGTCATCTAGGTACGCAGAGAGCTTCCGAAGCGAGGCTGCGACGTGAACCCGTGACTCCGTTTGGCTGCTGTGGCTCATGAGGGACAGGACAAGTCCAACTCCCAATATACAGCCCGTGCTTGGAGGCCAAAAAAGAAGAGGAGTGAAAACCACGGGAAACCCATGCCATCCTTCTTCACCTAACATAGGAGTTAACAGGGCTCTACAACCGGAAATGAGATGGCTGGATTCTAATTCTGCTGTCTGGTGTATAGGAGTACCCTACAAACCCCCCACGAGTATACCCACCTTCCCCACAAAAGGAAAACTTAGTAACAAGACAGGTGTCTGTGGCCCATGCTAATGCTGTGTACCCAAGGGAGAAAACAAATACATGAAATAGTGAAAACAGAAGGAGGCATACAGAGCAATCAAACCAGCTCTAGCTCTGCACTTAGAGAAATGCCTGGTCCTCTCTCCACTGGCCCCCCGCCCCCAACCATGTTGAGTGCCCTATGATTAACTGCCTAAGGAGAGAAAAGGCTAAATTTCAGGATATGCGCTGAGGACATCTGACTAATAACAGGGGGGATGAACGCAAGGCATGATTACGAGGTACTGCTAAGTGCTTCATGTTTCCTAGTCAACTTCAACAAGTGGAATTTCTTTCTCAAAGCAACTGTGTATTTGTTGGTGCACAATGACATTAATCCTCTTCTCCCCTCTGATCCCTCCAAGTACCACTGGGTCAGAAGAGAAAATGGACAAATGACAGGCTTGTCAAAAGTTACCCCATGTGACAATTCAATTGGAATCTTGGGCTTTGTGCTCCCATTCTCCTGAAAGAATACATATCCATTTAAAGAAAAGAATTGTTCTGCCAGAAAACTTCTAGTTAGTATAATAAGATAATGCAGCTTGGGGGTAATTTTTCACTTTTTTGAAAAATGCTGATTTTTTTTCAGAAAACATCCTCACTCTTGTTTGGCTTGCCTCTCCTCATGATATATGCTGCTTAAGAAGGCATTCCAGGGGCTTTTCTCCAGTAACATATTTCAACGCCTGTATGTTATGGCATTTTGCTCTTACACAGTATCTACCTCCTTGGCTGGTGTCAAGACCTTCACATCATTTCCTGAACATGTTAGTTACTTCCCTCAACACCTCTGTGCAAATGGAACTTCCACATCTGATACGAGATACCCAAAAGGATGGAGAGGCTACAGGACTTGCTTAAGGTCATGCAGAGAGTTTCCAGCAGAGCACAGGGACAGGGGTTTTTTGGTTTCCAGCTTTCTGTTCCAACTACCAAACCTCAGACCCCTCCGGGTGCCCTGCGTGAGGCCTTGATGGAATGCCTATGAGAAGGCAATGTGCCTCAAGCATGGTTTTTTAGGTTTCTTGCAGAATAACTTGGCATTAGAAAATCCTATGTGAAGAAGCTATTGCAGTAATAATCCATCATTAGTCAGGCAGAACTGTTGTGCCAGCTTACAGGAATTTAACAGCAAGCTCAACTAGCACAATGCCTATTTCAACTGGTTAAATCAGCATCTGACATCTGAACACGGCATGCTTTTGAGACACATCACATTTCTGAAAGAGGAAAGGCTGCTCTTGATTAGAATGGATTTAAGTCTTCATTTTCATTTAGAATCTACAGGAAAGTTTTTTTGGCCATTTTTCTATATTGATGCACATAAAAACTTGAAATTAGACCAAAGATTAAACAAATGTGATTAATACTTTGAAAATTTTAACTTTTGCTCCCTCTTTGACTATTTAACTGCTACCTATGCTTAGGATTTCAAATGTTACTTCCTCAGGGACACCTTCCTTGGCCCAGCAGGGAACCTCTTTAGTATTTTTCCCATAGCACCAGGTACTAAATTACTTCAATTTTTTTTCCTTTAGGTAATGTTAATGATGAACTCTGATGAGGATTTCTTGGGAGACTGTTTGACTACTGTCCACATCCTTCACTAGCCTGCAAGCTCCATGAGGATGGGTAGATAGGTACCTTTTCTGTTTTTCCTCACTGTAGTATTTGTGGCACCTGGTATACTGCTGGACAGGGACGGACATTCAGTCAGTATTTACTGAATGCTGAAGAACTGACCAAATGCAATTTCAAGAAAGTCTAAAGTGGAGATAAGATCTATAGCGGAGGGAAAAAAACAAACAAAAAAAGAATTCTCACGTTCAGTTGGAAGAAAAATTTATGACTAGTAAAACTCTCTGAATATATTACCCAAGATTCAATCAAGAAAACTGAATTTCTATTTTTTCACCAAACTAAGGTTTGTAAGGAAAAAAGATTCTTCTCAAAGCTAACTTGACTACTGGGGCTCATCTTTTTCAATAAATAGGCAGGTGTCTAAGTCTTACTTTTCTGGCTATTCTAGGCACAAAAAAAATCTCTACCCCTGGACTGAAGCTCCTCTTTTACCATCCGAAGACACATGGGTACAAAGGTCTAGAAAAAGACATCCCAGTTACTAGTTCACATTTACCTAGAAATGATCACAGCAGACTTATTCTTGGGCAAGGTCATCATTCACTAACGATTCTATTCATTGCTACAATGGTTGTTAGCTGACTGCTATATGAATGTATAATCTAACTAGATACATACGGGTGTCAATATAACTATGTTAGACTGTATGCATCTATTGACCTTCTGATCTGTTTCCTTCTACTCTGTCTAATTTGTTCCAGCCTGCACCAAGTGTAATCCTAACACTTTATCCCTGATGTCTCCTTCTGATTTCCAAATCGTCTACATTTTAATGTGTTTATTTTTCTGTCCTTAGTCTTAAAGATTCTCCCAGATGCTTAGTTTAGCATTTCTACACATTTACCTCATTCTACCTTCACTGTTCTGCTTGCCCTAAACCAAGAATAACCTGGACTGAGATAGCTTTCACACCTTTCTGTCCACTGAAAACAAAAAGGAGTTACGTGTTGGTGTCTTGAACAGATGAAATGAATTATATTAGGTAAACAATTTGAGGTTTTGGAATTGCTAATATAAACCTTCTATAAGAATACTGACAAATGATAAAGAGAATTTGAGTTTTAAAATGTTATGTCCCATTATGTCATTATTTATTTGAATCTCTTATCCAAGTGTATTAAAATACCGCCAGCAAAAAAAATTCTGAGACTTAAAAGCTATGCAATTCTGATATGTGTGTTGCTATATCAACTTGAGACATGATATATTTTTCTAAAATTAACCAGAGATGAATCTTCAATTCCCTAGCTTATTGTAGGCTATTCTGCAGATTAAGTACTAGGTCACATAATAATTAGTCCTAATAATAGTTAACATCCGTATAGCGCTTTGCCCTTTACAAAGCGCTATACAAATGTTATCTTATTTGTAAAAGCTCAATAGTAATTAACCAACGCTCAGGTCATTGATGATAAGGGAATAGTAGGACTGCAATGGCACAATAAGTACCACGAGATGGCAGCAAAAGGTAAGTGATAGGACCACAGACACCGACCAGCCCAGGTGCTTGGTTCTCTCAGCAGGCACATGTCCATTAAATCAAGGAAGCGTGGTGAATTTGCTCTGGGTGAATTCTATCACTTGAGGTAGCATGCTCCCAGATCTATTAACTACCTCTGGGTAACGCTTCCACTATTTCTCATGAAGGAGGACTGCCCCAGATTCCTGCAATCTCATTAGACTGTGGAATACTTTATGCCATGAACCAGGCATTCAGGTCTGGGCCTAGTTGGAATCTCTTTTTTGTTGTTGTTTTTAATGGTGAGCAACATCCACATGTCAGAAGAAAATAATAAACACCACAATGTCAAGTGTCAAATTGCTTTCTTTCTATTGAAATGTGTTCTCTGCGCTGTGCTATGCAAGAGAAAGAAAGCTGGCTTTGAAGTCAGACAGACTAGCTTTCCCTTCTAGCTCTGCCACTTTGTGACCTTGAATCAATTTCCCATTTGAGACTGACTTTCTTTATCTAGAAACTGAAGTGATGCTGATTCCTGCTTTAGTATCAATATTTAGGTTGTAATCAGGGCTTAATTACATGAAAAATAGAAGTGAAGAGGCCCAACACAATATGGGGCTGCTCAGTAAGTATCAGTGGGACCTGAAACCAAAGACAGAACCACATAAGCACTGATGTCCACAAAGCATTAGGAAGGACAAAACACCAAGCTTCATCCACTGCAGGAAAATAGGAGTCTGGAGAGAATAGAGGGAGAGTTTCTTGAAGGACCTGAGCTTTTAATTGGCTCTGAAAGGCAAGCAAGATTTTACTAAATGGACAGGAAATTTCTGAGGACCCTATTCTACTTGGATCTGCAGGATTAATCCCCTACATAGGCCCACCTTTCTCTCTCCCAAATACAGTTGTTCATTAAGGAGTTAAGCCTCAAGAATGAAGGTAAGAATGAAGAAATAAGAATCTTATTAATATAAAAAGTTAATTTTAAAGTTAAATATGCTTAGACTTGTGAAGTTTTTAAATGCATTAATATCCATACTGTGGATAATTCAGTTATCCCCACAGTCCTCCTTACATTCAAACAACTTTCCTGCAAACTAATGGAGATAACACACGAGAGTCATTCCTGATTGTCCCAACTGGCTGGAAGTTTGCAGCATGTTAATCCAAATTTTCCTCCAACTTTATAATACCCTGGGCTACAGATATGCTAAACTCCTCTGGGGGAAGGTGGGAGAAAGGAGAGAGGGTTGAGGGGTGAGGGGAGAGGGGAAGGGAGAGAAACTTGTCTTACTCCTTAGTTGTAAAAGGCACCACCACCAATACATGAATTAAGCTAAAAAATCGCAAGTCTTTATCGGACCCCAAAAACAGTTACATGACTATCCCTTCCATTAATCATTTTCTAAATTCAAGAGACTTCAGTCATGCCCCCAAACTCTTCCTCTACCCATATTCAAAGCCAAACCTGTAACATGTCATTTCATCTCAAAGTGTTCCGTGATAAACTGGGTGGGTGTCAGGGGTTCTTATCCAGTCTTAGGCTGCATGTGAAAGGTCTTGTAACTACCACCTACTAAGCAAAGATTTGACTTTATTTGATGAAATACTTGATATCTGCAGTAATTTTGCCATTTGCTCTTTTGTTAGCCTAAACTTAACAGGCTAGATGATGTGAATGTAAATTTAGATCCCAAGTTCCCAAAGGTCAGAAATTTAAACACTGATTTTTTTTCTTTTTTCTTTTTTTGGGGGGTGCAGGGGAGAACACTGATTTAACTCATATTTAACCAGTGCCCATAAGAGTACAAAGTAAATGAGTTAATAAATTGGAGGTCGTTGCTTATAATCTGTTGAGTTTCCTAGTGACTTCAACCCCAGAGGATTCAAACTGAGGTTCCAAAACATGGAAGTCCAAAAAGGTACAATGCAGGTTCTCAGCGGAGTCAGCGTCTCATGAAACCTAATAAAGTAGTATATTTTCTCACATAAGCCACATAGATAAATTGAAATATTCAGTGTCTCACTAAACTAGTATGTTTAACAGTTTTTTGAGGTATTCTTTTCTGATTATTCTTTTTTGTTTTTGTTTTTGTTTTTTTCATAACCAGAATGAGAAGATAAATTTTAAGATATTTAGTTTAACAGACAAAATGTTTGAAAAGCAGGATGTTTGTGGGGGGAGAGGGATCTACTGAACTTGAGGAGGCTGGGAAGCCTGGTATAACCTCTGTTTGTTTCCATTTGGATTCCTCAGACAGTGGATTTCAGAGGGAAATCTAAATCATGGGTCAAAGGTCCCTTTTGTCAAATCAAATTCAAAGAATAGTTTCAACAGATCTTTAAAAAGGTTGTCATACATACAAGTCCCCAGAAGGACACTTCATATGATAAGTACAAGACAGAATCTAAGGTATTGGCAACTCAGTGGCAGCCGCAAAGTGCAATTTGTTGCTTTATAAGGGAACAAACTGTCCATTTCTGAAACTTGGTTTTCAGAACAAGTAAGCTTTAATTACAGATTTTTTTATTATTACTGAAAACTCTTTGCAAAGGAATTCAAGATCCGATCCTACAAATATTTCACCATGGAATGCAAACTTTATGGCCAAGAAAGAACCAATCTGTGAGCATCAGAGAGGAAATGGAATAAACATACTTGTATTCAAGACTAGTGTCAAAGCAGCAATTTTCTAGGGCATCCAAAGACTTCATCACCAGAAGGTTCATCTGTTGACCAGATACATCACTGGGTAAAGACCAAGAGGGAAAAATGAATTATTTTAAATCATTCAACTGTCCAAAAGTATTTACTATGTAATATTTTGCTCTCAATATTTTATTGAAAATGCATTTCTTTAAAAAAAATGTAAGGAACAATTAACAGTATTGATGATTCACACATATTTTGTAGACAGAGAAAACCAGTCAGAGAATTTATTCAATAATTGGGTTTCTGAACATCATAATCACTTGCAATAAACCCTAAAACTGCTACTTTTGCATTTTCTCAGTTCATTAAAATTTTAAATCACAGAAAAATTAAAACCAAGCTCAGAATTCTAAAAAAAAAATATTTCTAAGAAGGCTACAGTGATTTTCTTCAGAATATTTACTAACCTATTAAGTTGATATTATCAATAATCATTCCAAATCTTTCTTGCGAAGACTATTGGTTCTGATTTCATGTCTCAAACGTTGAGGTTTTAAGTTCTATTCTTTTTTTTTTATTTTTATTTTAAGGAGGAAAAAAAAACCCAGCCCTGTATTTTTTTCTGCCTTTATACAGTAATTGATGTGGTTTTTGTGATAGTCTTGGTGAGAACTTTGACTTCTAGGGGAAAATAAAACTTAAAAGGTAGCTCTGTGTCTGTTTTTTCAGGCAGAGTTGTGGGTTTCATCACTGACACTTTATTATCAAGGGGTCCCTATATGTCACCTCTCCTGCCACTGCCTCAGACCATGCTGAGTGGAATGCAGCCCCAGGAATGCCAGCCAGCCAGAGAGCACTTTAAATAATATCTTCTCCAACCAAGACCATAGTGGTTTTGCCTGAGGTGAAGGATTACATTTTGCAATGAGAAAACACGCACACACAGGCACACACAGCTTTAATAGCTTTAACTAAATATGTCCTATTATAGTTGTTCTCTGGAGTAAAATATACCTAAATATCCTAAACAAATGCCGAAGACATCCTACGAGTATCCTCTGGGAGTTATAACAGAAGCAAGCTTTGGAATAAGATGCTTTTCTATATAAACTCTAGATGGGAATTTAAATTCAGGAGACTTTTTCATAAGCCTTAGCCAAAAAAAAAAAAAAGGACGGATTGTCATAATTCTCTTCTATAAGGTGATTTTTCATTCTGCAGACCAACATATTGTCTTAATCCTGTTCTCCTAAGGAGCCGTTTGGGGCCACTTATTTGATGTTATTGACTACTCAGAGGCAATAGCCCTCAAAACATTTACTTTAATTTTAGAAAAACAGAAACTTTACCCCAAAATGCCATTATCTGGTGACACTGTCATTATCTAGTGAAATATTTATTAGTACCAAGAGGCAAATATTTCAGATTCCTCTGCTCCAAGAAATCAGGAAGGTGGGAACCCTGGATAATCACACTAATGGCTGCAGGACGAATACAGCAGGCATAAGGAGGAGAGCGCTATCAGATACCGGATCACTAGGGCAAAGGTAAAGCTTGCAGTTATTCTGAGGGCACTCTGCCCTGGGAAGATCTTCCTGGCAGCTTCCCCCAAGGTTTCCTGCAGGTGCACAGCCAAGCAGAATAGATGGGATAGAAGATAATCTAGGAAATGGGGACAAATGCTTTAGGTGAATCACCGTAGGTTTCTCCAGGTAGCACAATTAAATGAACTACAAATACAAGCTTGTCAAGCCCTAAAACCAGCAGCATCTCATCCTAAACTAATGAAGAAGGGAGCCAGAGCCAGCATAGGATGAAATGAGTTGCCTGGAGTTAAATTGCCATGGCTCATTTCTAGTTATAAAACATGTAGCTTGAAAAGAAACTGAAGAAAGAGCATGAACACAGATGGTGAAGAGACTGCCATTTGTAACAAAGCAGCAAAAGGAGAAAAATCACTTTCAAGTTAAAAGTCATTAAAAATACTTGTGTTCTGTCACACACAAGATACGTTACAGTCAATTCACATGTAGAGGGCAGCTTTTTGTTTGTGTCCAGAACCAGGTCTGTGTATACTAATGCTGGCGAACAGAACGAAATAAATATTCTGGAAACATTTCATTTATGATCTCAAAGACTAAGCCAGTCTTCCCAATCATCTGACCAATGTTTCCAAGAACTGAAAATGATCATCTGAAATATAATATTTCCCTAGATCAATAGCAGTTCTCATAAAGGTTTCACATATTGGTGTCTACACAAAACTATGGAAATTACATATGCAAACTTAACCACTGGTTTCAAACAGAAATCTAAATATGGCATAATGTCATTCAGTTTATTCACATCAGCACCACTTCTTGCCTGTGGACAGTTTCTGCTGAACAGGGAAGCTTAAGGACATCTAACATCACAATAGGATGCCTTCCCCCATCCCTATTTCTAGTGCAGAGAAATGGGGCTAAAACTCCAAGTCAGTGACAGCTAAATATTCATGATACTCAAATATGCATGTTGAACCATACCACAATCAACCTGGATATATAAAATTCTAAGATCTGTTATAAAATAAAGAATAAACATAATGAGCAACAAAACTAAAGTAGATTTATGCACAAGAAAACTTTCCCATTTAGTGGAATTTTCCACCTGGGTCTTTGATATTCTATTAGCTCCATTCAAGAGTAAAGCTAGCAGTCCAAAAACGAGCAATCAAACTAAATAAAGCATGCAGTATAATATGCACAGATTAAGACTCTTTAAGGATTACAAAAATGTAGCCAGGGCACCGGATAAAAGCAGTATTTAAATCTGGGTACATGCAGTTCTCAGGTGATTCGGTGATTCCCAGCACCCTCAGGCATAAGGGACACCACTCTATCCACCAATCTTTTCCTCTCATTTTACAGTAATAGCAATAAAGAATAAGCAATTATTTTCACCCTTATAAACCAGGAAGCTTTTTAAAATTTATAGCACCGTATGATTAGACTTTTCTTGTATCTATTACACAAATGTATCTAGGGCTTTTATCTAAGCATGAAATGATTTTCAGGTAATCAATCACATTACTATCTCTGTGATGGTATTTTAGAAAGATGAATTCATTCATAAAGGAGAATAAAGGATCAACTTGCCCATCTCCAAAAGTTTAGCACCACAGATTGCTCAGATATAATGTATGTGTGGGGGGGGGGAGGGTGTGCGTGCGCATGAGAGAGAGAGAGAGAGAGAGAAATTCTTCACCTAAGTCACAAAGAGGAAAAGCAGGAATATGTTAATAAACCGTACCTGAGTTTCTCCTCACACAAGCGAGAGAGAAACATCCCCAAAGCGAGGCCCATGTGGATCTGCACGGCTTGAGACTCATCAGCACTTGGTTTCCCAGGTAACCTGGCAGTCAGCATGTTCAGGATTTCCTCAACCTTCTCTTTGCAAGAGATAATGAAAACTGGCACAAGGAGAGACAAAGCCGTGGCGGCTGTGGAACGGGCAATGGCACTAGCTGTGCTTTCACCGGAATAGGATTTCTAGGACATGCCAAAGAAAAAAAAACAAAAAAAACAGGGGGTTGGCCTTTTGTTTAAAACATGAAGGAAGCACACCTCTCACAAAAGCACCATGCAACAATACAAGCTTCTTTTAGATCCACCCCTGTCAACCAAAAAAAAAGTTAAAAAAGAAATCTATTTCCGTATCTGTCTATAGGTTACCATTTCACTCTTGGTAAAATAATTTGCTACCAAGCAATCAGTTAACTAACAATATCCTTTGAAATTTGAAAAAACAAATTCTAAGTGTCTCCTTTTAGAGGGTGTGAATTCCCTCACAATAAAGCCTGAAACGATTTCAGTGTTTTGAAAGCCCACATGTGCATATAATGAAAAACCCCAAGTGAAGCTATCCAAGCTTGGAGAAACCACCAAGCCACATTAGAAATGTCCAGAAAGGCAGAAGTTTTCCGGGAGAGAAAGGAAAGGGGTTGGGGTGGGGGCAGTTTACGTTTAGTTACGGAGGGATAAGTGTAAGTTTAGCACAGGGATCTACTGGCAGATCTCCCAAAATTCTTGGTGGGAACGCTTCCCAGTAGATGGATTATTTCCTACAGGGGGTTAATTCCTTTTAATTAAAAAGGAAGTTGAAATCCTAAAAGCCTCTGGTTACAAAGCAATAACCAGCTATTCAAAATGAAACGGAGAGCTCTATATGCTCCCTCCTATATTAATTATGGGAAAAGGAATGAGTAACAGCCCTAATAAAATGACAGGGCAGCTGAATATGAACAGCTTCTATAAGAATCCCGTGTTAGAGAGCTCCACCAGACATTATATACATTTATAAATAGGGCTCAAGTGCGGAAGAAAGCCCATTTATCATTCCTCACTATTATCCACTTCAAATTTTCAGACATACCATAAAGGCTGTGTTGTCCCTTGCAGTCAAAACACATTAAGAAGTGTTTTTAATTCTATGCTCGTTTGCTAACTCTAGTACTTTAAGGATAAAAAGGAAACATGTGCTAAGGTATTCTTTAAGTTAATATAACACTATTATAATGACAATACTAATCAAAATGACCCAGCTGCTAGGACAAGGGAAATAAAGGAAGTGGCTTTTGACACAGGGCTTTGAAAAAGCATAATAATGCAAGAATCACAAAGGTAAGAGGCGACCCCGAGCTGGTTAGTAAAGACATTATTTTTACTGGTTTGCAGGAACTAAGCAGCATGATTAGGAATCTAACACAATATCCTGTCCTGCCGACTACCTGAACTAGATCGCTACCACAAAGACCTCCATATAAGCTAACAAGTTTTTCATCCATCATCAGAAATAAGAACACTTGTGACAGAAAACAAATCATAAAGGAAGTTACTTCTATGAGCAAAATCTAGCTTCCAATTTAATTCTGCACTATCTGGTAAGTCATTGTTTTGTCCTCAAGTACAGTCAAAAATCAAGTTCCGGACCCTCAGCCCCAAATGAATACATACCAGGTCCTCCTAAGGGCAGGAGGACAGAGGCACACAAAATGTTGTACAAAGAAGACCCAAGGAAATGAAGTTTCAGGCTAAATTCATGATCTTAGCAACAGTCAGGACCTGTGTTATATTTTTATTCAAATCAACTATAATCCTCTGCCACTCAGCTGATTGTCCCATGATCACTATAATTCCCTAAGCAATGGATAGTGATAAAACAGAACCAAAATAAATTCATGCAGATGCAGAAATAAAGCACGCACTACAGCCAAAAAAGGGGAAATGAAACCTAAACCAAAAACGTGTCTTCTTCAAATTTGCTTCAAATCTTAGGATATAAGCATGAAGAAAGAGAATGACTAAGGAACAGGTGCTTTTTTATGAGCAACCATATTACTTTGTATTTATAGAGCATTTTACATTTTCACAATATTTTCTCATAGATTATATAATTTGAGCCTCACAATCTTCTATAAAGTTGGCAAAGTATTAATTTCTACCTTCATTTTACAGGTAGGGAAAATAGGGGGATAGGTTAAGTGTCAGGTCAACAGTCACAAATCGAGTAAGAGGCGAAGCTGGGGCTACATTCACTATAGATTATATTGTTCAATCACCTCATTTTACAAAAAAATGACACAAAGGCCCAGAGAGATTATGTGAATTGCCCATGATCACACACTCTGAAATGAAAAAACTAAGACCGGGGGGAGGGTATAGCTCGGTGGTAGAGTGTGTATCTAACATGCACGAGGTCCTGGGTTCAATCCCCTGTACCTCCGTTAAAATAAATAAACCTGATTACCTCCCATCAAAAATCAATAAAAAAAACCAAAAAGAAAAAAACAAAAAACAAAAAAAACTATGACCAGAAACTCAGGATCCTCCATCTTCAGCCAATGTTTATTTTATTACAGCCGTAACTTTTGACGCTGACTTTACATTAGAATAACTTAGAAAGGTTCCAAAATGCGGATGCCCAAGGCCCAACCCTGAGCAATTAAATCAGAGGTGAGGCCTACACATCAGTGTTTGTTTTTTCAATATACGTGTATTTAAACTTCCCCAGGTGACTCTAACATACAGCCAAGCCTGAGACTTATATCTAATGCGTAGCTCAGGCTAAGACTTACACTATATCATGGATTTCACGTGAACAACTGATATATGAACCAATACTTGAGTTTTCTAATCAGTTTTTATTTCCCCAACTTACATAATAGAACCAGGAGAAAAGTCGTCCTCTGGGTTGGTAATGGCTATCTACAATGACCAGAAGAGTATCAAACACCATAGAAATCCACTCTTCCATTGAAAGGAAATTAGGTTGAACCTGTAAATGAAGAAAAACATGAAATGATACTGGGAAAAAGAAAAAAAAAGTTAAACATTATTTCTAGATCCAGGGTACAACCCCTTTCTGTATTAAAGAATGAAGTACTATTATCAAAAACTAAACTTCATCTGCCAGGACTGCATGAAATAGACAGGTATTGGACAAATCTACATCCTCACCTGCACCCCAACATGAATAAGACTTAGCTTTCATCCAAGACTTAGCAGAGGTGAGAGGATGGGGGCTGCAAAACAGAACACATCTGAGAGCTCCTCAGAGCTCTCCTATGTTCAGTGAGGATAACATGGAGGTTACAAGGAGAGATATGCAGAGAAAGCAACTCAAAATTTCTCATTTCTGACTGTCATTTCAATAAAGCAGCCTACAAAATTTTGATCACCATCTCTAACATTTCTGCTTACTATCACTATATTTATCATTGAACAATCATCACAACATTTGCTTGGCTAAGTAAGTATGAAAATATAAATGATCTTTGGTTTGGAAAAGAAGAGGAAAGAGAATGCAAAAAGTAAAACAATAACAAAACCCAACTCAGTCAAAAGAGAACTTGGTTTTAAAAAAATCGTTCATGACCATGGATGTCCAAAAACATTCACTGGGGGAAGAGGCTATAGCTCAGTGGTAGAGCATGTGCTTAGCATGCATGAGGTCCTAAGTTCAATCTCCAGTACCTCTGTTTAAAAAGAAAACAAAGCAATAAATAAATAAACCTAATTACCTCCCCCTAAATAAAATAAAAATTCATTAACTCACATGGTAACACACAGTGGTACAAACTATAAAGGTCAATGCAGTGTTGAGAATCCTTGAAATTAATTCCTTGACTCAAACAAGGCTTTCTTCTTAAGATCTTTAGTTGTGAGTTAAATGCAGATTTGAATGAAGTTTGAAAACTTTAATCAAACAACGAGGTCTTGAGTTTATACTGAGTAATAGCCAAAGGCAAGGTCATCAGGAATGAAAGCAAAGCTCCATCTCTGGGGCTGTGTGGCTTCTCAGTGTTTCGTGCATGATGTGTTACAGCACAGGACAGAGGGTGGGGGAATAAAGAACAGAAGCACCTGGAGCTCAAGCCCTGAGCTAGACCTCAAGCTGTGACTGGGGCGAATTACCTACACAAGTGACACCAAAGGGAAGGGGTTCTAGGAAGGCGTGTTTACTTTTTAGGTTGTCCATCTACTTAGCGTGCTGCCTCTGTTCAAGTATTCCATGGCTCTTTCAAGGATATGAAACATTTCCTCTCTAAAAAATGTTTATCTTTCTCATTTTTAAAATAAGATTCTGGGCTTAATCAAAGTTAAATTTTCTTATGATAACTAACTACATTTTTATTCTCCATGCAATAATCCCTTGGCCTCCTTCCCTTCCCCATATGTAATACATCTGTAGCATTATTCTCCTGTTTTCTGGTAAGAGCACCTTTTGGGGACTTCCCTCTTCCACCATTTGAAACTTGGTTAAATGCTCAATCAAGCTACCTGTTCTACCCTGCCCAAGGTGCAGGCACGGAACCCATGGGATTCTGAATCTTAAGTGAAAGATGCAGGGACAGTAATCGACTGGAGCTGACCCACCGCAGTAGGGGTGGTCTGCTGACTTGGGTCGTCAGTGCCTATGCCCGGACTCCGCAACTTGCCTTGGTTCCTATTCTTCCCCTAACCTGGTTTTTAAGCTTTGCCTTCAATTCCATGGGCTTCCAGATTCCTTATTCTTCTAGTTCCTTTTTTTTTATTAAAATGGAAGTCCATTTCCTTCCAGAAAAGAACCCACCAAAAAAGAACCAAAAAGCCCCACCATGAAAAAAACAAAAAAAGAGTGCAAATGGTCCATAAGACACTCTGTGGGGACAGAGACAGGCTGATAGCACTGAATAAAGTCCAATTTTTGCAGCAAGAAGTGATGAAGAGCATGTGCTGATGATAATGGTTACTTTACTGAGTGCTTAGTATTTACTGGCCACTGTGCCTTACATATACTAATTCATTTAATCCATTATACAATAAGCCTACCTGGTAAGTCTTGTTATCCCCATTTTACCGACGGGGAAATAGGCTCCAAAAGGGTAAGTACCAACAGTAATCCATGGAGCTAGTAAGTGCAAGTATTAGGATTTAAATATAGGACTCTCCTTCTCCAAAGCCTGTGTTTTTCAACCACTTGACTATAATGATAGCTACCAGATAATGGGGCTTAAAAGAAAAATAAATCCATGCCTTTTTATTTTGACAGATATGAATTGTCTGAAAAAGTACATTGGAAATGAACATTGGCCAGCTCGCCACATGTTTAATTAAGAAATAAATGCCTTGCAAAAATGAATAGGCACTTTGTCATTGACATCTACAATTAAAATGCAAAGTACATTTTTTTTTCGGTCAGTAAACACTGCTTATTTATCATTTTTTGACAGCATTGTTCACTTTCAGTAAGCCTAGTTAACCTCCTAAGATTGGTTACCATGATGCAATCAGAAAAGACAACCCCTGTTGCATAAAATTGGTACCTTCAAATGGAAATGACCACTTAACTGTGATGGAGAAAGCAAAACAGAAAAGCAGCAAAGTGTTTTAGAGGACACTAGGCTTACAGCGTAAAGGCACTTCGGTTAGCACAGTTTGGTGCTGCAAGCACAGGCTGCCACCTCCTAAATTCAGGGCCAGGCTTAAGGAGCCATCTCACTTTTCACACGTTACACAACCAAAGCCCAACTGGTTTAGACACCCTTAACTCACCTCCAGGACCCCCTCAGAGTCCGAGGAGAGGCTGGCTTCATGTTTGGATACAACAACAGCAAGGCCGCTTAAGGCTAACAGCGCGTTGCCTTTGACCACTGGGCTGTCTCTGTTCAAAAAGAAAAAAATTCCAAGAGAGGATTTAGGGGCATTAACCAGGAGAAGAGAAGGCGCTATTATAGGGAGGGCAGATGAGGTCAAAAAGCACTTCCATCCCTTCACAGAGCCTCGTAAATGCAGGTCTGTTTGTTCCCTGATGCCAGCAGCTTCTTTGCTTGTTCTGACACTAGGGCTGATTTTGAACTTCTCTAATAAATGTCCGGTCACTACGCTTTTGGTAACATAAAAATCCAAGCTCCATATATCTAAGCTCTTTCTTTCTAAAATTTTTGTTTTATCATTTGACCCGACATATCCCAAGCTTCTTCGGTGTCATCTTTGGCCAATACAAATGTATCGAGCTGTTGGAAAACACAACCAGGGACAGTTCTGTGAATAAGAACAGCAGAACGAAGCTGGCTTCTGGCTCTTTGAAAGCACCAGTGTGTGGAACTAGCTTCTAGTGAACCGCTTCAGATGGCATCCTTTACTAGCAACTCGACACACTGGGAGCTTTCCTCTGTCATGAATATTTCCCCCTTCTTTTTTTTTAACATGCCAAAGCCAGCAATCTTAAAATCAGACTGTAACATAATTTAGAGACCCTAGATAAGAAGCAAACAAGGCCTGTTTTTAAATTACTGGGTTTGAAAGTGGCCCCTTTATATCATCCAAACAGTGGTTTTCTAATATTGGCAATAAAATCTTAAGTTTGACTTCCAAATTTGGTATCAAGAAAACTGAACCTTTTAAATATACTTACTGCTTGAAAAATGTACAGGTAGTATTATTCCATAATTCCAAAGTGATCCTATAGAATAAAATCCCCAATGGGACATTGAGGAGATGCTCTTGGCTTGCCAACTCTGTCATAACAGGACTCGAGCAACACAGCACTCTTACCATCAGATAGCTCAGTTCTCAGTCCTACAACTGAGGGTTCCCATAAACAGAGAGAATGTTTCCCCAAACCTGGACTTGAGATCTGAATTCGAATCAGTGCACATGTCCAAGGATTACTCCCTGTTTACCCCTGTGCAGGAACAGAACCGATGTCTGGGATGAGGAAGACTTACAATCCTGTTCACCATACAAGCCTAGTGCCTCCAGCCCTAAGCCACGGTCATGACTGAACACATGAGTTAGTGGGTATCAAAGCATTAGTATACACCTGTGTTCTTGTATTTTTGTTTCCACTTGGTAAGAACTGAACTTAGGATCTGCCATTATCAAGTTCCTCCATCTATGGATTCAACCATTTCCTCCTCCCTTCTCTCTCTCCCACCTTGGGATGGTTAAACTCAGTGAAGACTTGCTCTGCACACTTGGTTATTTTCTTCACCCCTTCAGGGATCCATTCCTCTATGAGGGCTGCCATATGTTGATAAGACAACATTTATATTGAGGAATGGGACAGGGGAGATAACAGGAAGAAAAACTTGAGTTTGAAGCAGCTTTGCAATAAGGATTACTGGGAACTCCAATAGCTAATAATAAAACACCAGGAAGCAAGGCAAGATGTGGTCACTCCTAGGTGTCCTAGCCAGAAAATCATGTAACAAAACCAAATTTAAATCCTTTATTCCTAATATTCTCCCTTTCCATTAGCTGAGAATATCTATTCTGTTACGAAGTGGTCATGAATCCCTGAAGTTAGATTAAAAAAAAAAAGGTTTTAAATTCTCAATGATCTGAGAATTTCCTCGGTTTTTATCACCCTGTAGAAATTCTTAGACAGCCACCAGAAATTGGGTATCAAATCCTTTAAAACAAGGATATTAGTTAAGATGACATAAAAAATATCTTTTTAACCCTAAAATTCTGAAAGAGAATTTAGCCTCAGTTTTAAAACAGTGCCCCAAATTACTTTATTTCAGAAGTGCCACTGGTCTTGGCATTCTTGAGCATGTATTCTTCTTGTAAAATGGAAAACATATTTAAAGCTACCAGTAATTAGACCTTTGGATGCAGACTAAACGCACTCTTGGACATTAATCTTTGGACAGAAAAAAATTAAACCACAGTCACACAATGGATGCTTATACCAAGCTACACTACAACGTTTCATAAAGGTACAGTGACTAGCTACTGATAATCTTTACATTCCCCACATGCCTCGCACAGTGACTTATGGAGAGAAGACACTGTACATAGTGAGACAACTCCAAGGAGGAGCTGGCCAGGTGAAATCCTACAATTGGTTCAGCAAAAACTCTTCACCTCGTTGATCAATTAGCTATCCCTTACCAGTCAAGCAGTAGTGACTAATTTGCATAATAACATGTCAGCATCAGTACAGTATTTATCTAGGCAACACCACTGACATTTTAATTAAATTGTCCTTTGAAACAAACAGATGCCATTAGCTTAATTAAAAAGCTCAAGGAAGGCCAAGCTACAATGATGCTTTCTTAGGGACAAAGTATTACATTACATATTAGCAAAGTGACCCAATCCTTTGGGGATTATTACCTTCACGTTCAAATCTATTTAATTATTAACAATGAAAATAAACTTACATCAATCACCAGGGTTTATCTGTGTTCTGATTCTCCCTTAGCCATATCCCTGATGCTTTAAAAATGCTCTCAAGTGAGCAAATCAGTCTAATCCTCTGACTTGTATTTTACTTTCTACATTTAATTTATGGCTCAGAACAAAATAAACCCTACATTGGCCCACCCAGCCTGTGGCATCCATGGTCCAAGGAACAGAAGGCTAAGCTGGCAGGAGATGGTGGTGGGGTCCTCACATGATTGAAGGAAGCCAGTGGGGAAAAGTAAAGAGAAGGCAGCAAAGAGATTTTTCCCCTGCTCCATCATTAATCTCTCAGCCTCTGGACCAACTATCTCTTGCTCACTTGCTGTCATGCCTAGCATTGTCAGAATTGCTGTAATAAGATGAGGTCTATAAAATACTTTGAAATTTTTGATGAAAAGGTAATACCATGAGAACATAAATTATTTTTACTCCATACCACTGAGAATGTGAACACACTCTTCTTAGGTATTAGTCATGAAATGATGCTATGCAAATCTGAAGATTAAAGTCTTACTGAAATAAAATTTTAGAATGGAATCTGCAAAACCTTCCAGAAAGGCAAAATTATACTTTGTTTTAATAGAAAGCTGCTAGTTTCTTCAGCATTCAAACTTTTTTGTTGCAAATGTCAGAGCACTGTTTTTAACAGGATATAAGTAGACTATATAATACAACAAACTATAAAAGATAAAGGTCAAAGGCAATCCCCCACCCCAGCACCTCCTCCCCTCCAATAAGCAGCTGAACACCCTACCATCGTGTCTGCAATGCACCAAACTAGATAAGCAGACACCAATGAGTCTCTATAGAAGCCTCTCAGTATTTTTCCTTTCATTTTGTAAACAGATATGTCAACAGATATTTCCCAGTGCCTCTCACAGAATTGAGGCGTTCAGGAGAGGATTACCACTTCTATGTCCCTTTATTCAGAAGACCCGTGGCTGAGTAGTGATCAGGTACTGAGGTCAGATTTTCCAGTGAAATAACTGTTTAAGACATTGCTGGTGGAAAGTGAACTCTAAGATAGATCATGTTTTTGTTTTTGTTTTTTAAGGCAAAATCTATTTAGCTACAGAAGCTCTGGGACACGACAGGGATAAACTATATTGTAAGTATTTCCAGGTAATACGGACTTTCAGTACATATGAAATCCTCTAGGTCAAAGGTATATTTATGGTTTTTTGCTGGACATGAAGAAAGGAAGTCAAACAGAAATGGAGGCACCTAAAGTTAATGGTGAAAAGGAGAGGTACATATCACTTATCACCAGGAACAATTAGTCAGCTTGCTAACAAAGGGACCTGAAGAGGTTGCTCAAGCAAGTTTACTAGGGTATCATTTTCTTAGTGAGAGCTGGCTTAAAAATAAAAAGCCTCAAGGTAGTAATACTCAGGTTATTTTTGTTAAAAAAAAAACCATAAGGATATGACAAAATTGCCTTTTTACTGGGTCTTCGTATGCATTTTTAGTATTAAAAAATTCAGTATTTAGATATCCTGGACCCAATAACATCAAGAGAATGAAAGGAGGCACTTTGATTTATTTACTAGCTCACAGTTGAGATTTAACCATCTATTTACAAAATCCCTGTAATTCATTCACATTATCAAAGATTTCTTCTTTCTCCCTCTTTTACTAAATCACAGTCTTTTAAATCTAAGCCAAAGTATGGGGCATTTTGTTAGGTGTACAATGTCGGTGCAACCTGGATGTAAAAGTTATGTGTCTGAACTGGTTCCTCTGTATTTTCACAGAAAAACATGTAGTAAGAATATGAGAAAGAGTAACAACTGATTTTTAAAAATACAACTCAAAAGTCCTTTAAGACCGTTAAAGGTATGAGATGCCTGAAAAGGAGAAAATGTAGTGGTGAAGGGAAGAAAAAGTTTTTAGAAAATTTCTGGTAAGAGAATAAATGGATCTTACTTTGCAGCTGCTTTGGTGACCTCATCAGTCAACATGTCTCGAACCCTGTGGTACAGATGGAAAAGAAGTATGAGAGTTTATGGTAGAGCAAGAAACCAATGTTTTTGCTTATTCATCAACTAATAAGAACCTCTGGCAGTGACTCCAGATCTTAAAACATCCATGTAGAATTTTAGGGTAAAGTGAAAGAACTGTAGTAATGGCTTTCCTTCCATCTCCTCAGGTTACTTAGCAGAGGCAGGGAAGGATCTGAATGGAACTGAGGAGCGTGGTCATGGTGTCATTTCTCATACTGAGTGGTGGGGATACAAGAGCCCTTTATATTATTCTCTGCTATGGACTGAATGTCTGTATCTCCTCCCATATTCATATGCTGAAATTTCAACTCCGAATGCGAGGCCTTTGTGAGGTCACGAGGTGGAGCCCTCGTGAATGGAATTAGTGTCCTTATAAGAAGAGAGACCAGACAGCTTGCTTTCTCTCTGCTCTCTGCCATGGGAAGATACAAGGAGAAGGCAGCCACCCGCAAACTTAGGATCAGGCCCTCACCAGCACCAGATCCGCTGTCACCTTGATCTAGGGTTTCCCAGCCTTTGTAACAGTGAAAAATAAATTTATGTTGTTTAAGCCACCTGGTCTATGGTATTTTTGTTATAGCAGCTGGAACTAAGACACTTCTTTCTTCTCTGCTCACCAAAACAGCAATTTACTTCTTTCAAATTGTAGATAATAAAATTTTCACTACATATATCTACAAAATAAAATTTTAAATGTTGGTTATAGTACATATGAAACTAACATAATGTTATATGTCAGCTACACCTCAATTAAAATAAATAAACGTAGGCTATAAAATTGAACTAAAAGAAAATAATTACATTTGTGGATCTGAAGGAAGGTATGCTCAATTCAAATATTCACAGAATTTTTTTTTCATGTAAGAATCTTGAGATTAAGTAGAAAATAATAATTGACTGCAAAATTTACATTTTGAAGAGGATATAGACATTTTCACTATACACTTTGAGTTTCATACAAAGTTTTTATAAATATCATAGGAGCTTTGCAAATATAAACTATATTTGCATTCATAAATATTTGCGTTTGAAATATAATAAAATCTTAGCTATTCAGCACTCTGAGAACGACTCATTCTTTAAGAATAAGAGCCAAGTTTTTCAGATAGTTGTAAACTGTTCCTTAAACTGGTATTTCATAAAGCCATTTGACAGTAAATTTTCCTAAAACATATTGGCCAATCTTGTTCTTCCTAAATGGAATATAGTGCATTCAATGTATTCTTTAATTGGTCAACATGAAATAATTATAAATCATGACTTGCTACACTTCTAGGTAGGGCCACACCTTCCACTGGTTCCTTCTTACCTAATCGTCCTTCTCTCTGCTGCATCACAGATTTTTCCTTCTGTTCTTGTATTAGTCCTCTTACCTTGTGAACATACTACAGCATCTACCATCTTAAAAGAAGAAACTCTCCAGCTATTGCCCCATTCCACTGCTTCCTATACATCAGAATTCATTTAAAAGAGTAGCTTATACTTGATGACTCCAGTTCATCTCCTTCTACTCTCTCTAGATTCTTCTATAACCTGGCATTTGTCCCTACAAAACAGATCCTTCATGGTCACCAATGACTTTCAAGAGGCCCAGTCTAATGCTTAATTCTCAGTCTCCAACTTTTGCAATCTCACAGCAGCATTTCACACAATTGGTTGCTTCTTTCTTGGAACATTTTCTTCCCTCAACTTTTAAGATAGCTTTTAAAATTCTGTTTTCTCTTGGTTTGCTCCCTATATCACTGGTCACTAATGGTCCACCTGCTTTATTGGTTCCCTCTTCATCTCCCCCAATTTCTAAGTGTTGAAGTGCTCCAGGGCTCAGTCCTCTGACCTTTTCTCTGTCTTTACTCATTTCCTAGATGATCTCATCCAGCATTATGATTTTAAGTGTAGTTGATATGCTGATGATTCCTGAATTTATATTTCCAGCCCTGCCCTCACCCTTGAACTCTAGACTCACATAGTCAGTAACCTGTGTGATTTCTCCAACTTGGAGGTCTAATTAGGTATCTCAGGCTTAGCAAGTCTCAAACTTGATTTCTACCCTAGACAGATCTGCTATTCTACAGTCTTCCTCATCTACATAAATGATAACTCCATGCTTTTAGCGATTCACAGTCAAAATCTTGGAGTTATGCTTGATTTTTACCTTTCTCTCAATCTTTTGTACTGTATGTCTCTATGTATTTTTTGATGACTATAGCTAACATACAACTCCCCAAATTATCATTTTCAGAAGATGGAATTAAAACTACACATAAAGGAAAATAGCAAATAGGAAGCAAAATCCAAATTCTTAATCTCTAAGCTTAAATCCAATGTCATAATGTTTTAAACTGCATTGTCATTTTTAAAATAAATCTAGGAAATGTAACTTAAATTAGTTAAATGTGTGCATGCATGCACAAAAACACACACAGAGCTTCTGCTTTTCTACATATGCCAGTTGTTAGTAAGTAAAAAACTGAAACCAAGTATTCTCATTTGATGAACAGATTTTTATATTAAAGAAACCTGTAGCTACAGGCAAAGCTATTTAGATTCTGGGCACTTTACTTAGATTTAAGCTGCTGCAACATTAATCTGACAAGGTATTCATCCCAACCCATGTAACAATTTAAATTGCTTTTTATGTGCCAGCACTTATACATTTCTAGATAATATAGTGGGAATTCACTAGGGGATGTCTGTCAAAGAAATTAAAGCCCTGACATGGAAAAGATGCTCCTAATAATGAAGATGTCTCGGGGAGGGGGGATCAGGGGAGCAGAAGGGTATTCCTTGACTAAATGAGTGGGAAAAACACTAAACTTTCATTTAAAAGCATATAAAATAATCAATTATAGGGGAAAACGGGAAAAACAAACCATTTCCACATTGCTTTAGAAACCAATAAAATATATATACAAAATTCATGAATACAAAGCTCTCTTTCTTATCTTACATCTGGGAAAGAGATGGAAAATATACCTATCAGATCTTCAGCCTTTTCCCCTTTAGGCTCACACAGAGGTTACAATTCCAATATTAAAGTCTTTAAAGCGGCCACCTTCTCCCTCACAGTTCGTTTCCCATGTCGAATAATGAGCAGCGGAATGCCATCCCCTTACCAGAGCCAGGCTGTGCTTTTTTTGTATTGCACCTCCTCAGGTCCTTCTTTTCCGTGTTTTAATTGCAGCTCCAGCTCTGCTATTCGTCCCTGCAAAAAGCACAGCATAAATCAGCATGCAAACTCTGTGACCAAAATTATCTTAAAATGTCTTTGGAAAACACGTAGGTAACAGATGTATCCTTTCCCAACTGGCCTAAGGTGTTCCTGATAGGATATCAGATATGACAGAGGATGTGTAAGGAGAGAGAATTACATCACTGTTCAGGGATTTCTACATTCACCAAATAAGTATATCCTGAAGTCTATAGTGCAAAGAGCACTTTGGCAAATTTAGTGCAAAACACTCAATGTGTATAGTGCAAAGGACTTTGGCAAATTTAGTGCAAAGCACTTTGTTTCAACAGATCTATTAAAAGCAAATTTGAATTCTATGGGTCCCATTCCAAAAAATCCCCTATATGATAATAAATAGCTTCTGTCAGCAGCTGATAATTTTAACGACACTATACCAAGACTGGGGTCTGGGTACCAGCATTATAACAGAATGGTAGCAAATGAGTACGGTAAATACATAACACTTAAGATTTAGGTAATGAATTACAAATTTTTTTCTCAAACAGCTGCATATTACATTTCTATTTCCTGAGTGAATTTATAGATATAATCTCAACCTATATCGTGTAATAAAAACATAGCTAATATCATTAATATCTTTAAGAACAAGGCCTTCAAATATTTATTATCTGTTCAATTTTTTTTACACTCAGGCCTATTTTGATCACATGCTTTCCCCTCTACTCCATCACCAATTACATTATTTAAATGTAATTAAAATACTGGTTTATTGATATACCCTGAACTGGACAAGAACTTAGATTGCATATTGTGTTACTGAGTAATACCAAACCATTTTCGGAAGTAGTTGTGCAGCTTACCTCCTCATAAGCAGTAAATAAGAGTTCTGGTTACTTCATATCCTAACTAGCATTTGGAACTGTCAGGTTTTTAAATTTTTACCATTTTTGCAGGTGTGAAATGGTGCTCATTATGGTTTTAATTTTCATCTTACCATTTACTAAGATTGAGCATCTTTCCAAATGTTTATTTTCTATTTGGGTTTCCTATTCTGTCCATTTTTCTACTGGTTGCCTTTTCTTACTGATTTTAGAGTTCTAAGGTATGTTTTACAGAAGAGAAGTATATCTCTATATCCCAAAGAGGGAAGCAATATAGCTTTAGGTTAAGGATCTGGGCTCTGGGATTGAACGTCCCAATATAATGCCATTTCCACTTACTTCAAATTTTACTGTGTAAATTTGGGCAAGTTACTTCATTTCTCAAAGCTTTAGTTGCCTCATTTGTAACATATAGCTGACACCTAACTCATGGTATTAGAGCATGATATTAAATAATGCGGAAAAGTGTCTCTTTAGTACAGTGACCGATGACAAACAAGAGCTACCATTACCAGGTTTGTTGTTAAAAACAAACTCCCCTTATTATCTTCGTATAAGCTGTTCTCTCATGAAAGTATCTAAATCCTTCTTGAAATAATTCATATTTTTAATCTGTATACTTTTATAGAGTAAAAGGTTCCCCAAGATGTAATATTCAGATATACAGCTGCATGTCTTTGTATTTCTCTCATATACTCTGTTACTAGCCTGTAAATTCACTGAGGAAGACAAGGATGGTTTCCTCCATCTAAGGAGGCACACAGTGTGCTGGGGCTCACCAGTTCAGGCACTCTGAGATTTCATGGGCATTCTGTTCACATTCTTCAAAGATTCTGTTTACTTCAATCATATCACCCCCAACTCCATGTTTTCAATGACAGAACCCCAGCCCTTTCCCTCTCCCTTCAGTTTCTTGGAGCAAGGTATCAGAAGTGATTCAACTGGCAAAATATTAATATCTAATATTGATATTGGTCTCCCAAGAGGGTAGGCAAAATAGAAAATAATTTTTATTGCCTATCTGTTTGTTATGCTTCTTAAATCATGCCTCTTTCCTCCTAAAACATTTATTTTCCATAGTGCTTCTCCAAAAAAAGGTAAGAAATAGGAAATTAAAAGGCTAAAAATCTGTTTAGAAATAAACAAAACACAAAAAAGCCAGTGTATGTGCAGCATCTTGAGAAGGCCCACTCTTTTAATCTCTCCTGTAGCCATAACCAGTACAACCATTTCACTGTGACTAGCAAATTTCTCATTTTTTCTTTCTCAGTCTCTGTTCTTCTCAATCTCCTTTTCTGAACTGCCTCTCTAACCCCTTCCACCCAGCCTGTGTTAGGCTATTTATTCAAATCCACTTTGCCATCCAATTCTTCACCTGCTGATAACAGAGATCTGGTGGCATTGAACTCAGCTACCTCTGCTTCTGGTTAACAGCTGTGGTTAAG